TATCTCTACCTCTCGGGGAGTCTCGTGGCTTTGCGTAATTTTTTCTACCCTCGTGGCTAGAATGACCGTTACTACTTTTTCACGCGAGGGTAGACGTTCATCGATCACGAGGAAGACGATTCCACACTTGTCACCGCAGGATCGACACCTATTTACCGATACCTCTTTCGACAAAGAGTAATTGCCAGCTCTGGAACCTCTTGTCTTATCATCAAAGGCTTCCTCTATTATGAATACTCTGATTTGCAGGCGCGTGCCTCGCATAAATTCTCCAATGTAATCTCAGAATGGACTGGAGGTTCGTTTTAGATAATATGATTGGAAATTTTTCGTACACTTGTTATCCAATTATTTTGGCTAAGGAATGGCTGAACCAGGAATTCACCAGGCTCTGGCGCGACCACAGTCGACTCTATACTCCGTTCAACGAGACGAGTCACTAAGCACGTGATTAGGTCAGGGCCGACTTACGGGTTCCGAATCCCCACATCACATCGAAAGATAAGCTTGACCTTGCATGCAAGAGCCCTCGGCAAGGGACCATCATAACTTGGCCCTGAGTTGTAACATGTGGCAGCCAATGACCGCAGTCGTAGAGCCGATCACGTGAGTTGTGTGTTTTGACTTGGTGACTCGTCTCGATGAACGGAGTATAGTACTAGCCGTGCTGAAATAAAAATGGCAACACCGCGGGAGTCCGGTCTGAATATATCAACACCTATCCTACTCTATCTGCCTCCCGGACTCCCGGACTCTCAGCCAATCAACGTCGTCAGACTCCCGACTACTCTCTGGACTTCACATAACCTCTTTGGTTTCGTTCCAATAATTTCGCTTATTTCAAGGTTTTTATTAACTTATATACACGTTCATCAATTCTTAAATGTTTCAATTTGATCCAAAGATGGTTTCATTTTGTTTCATACCTAAATTTTCTTGAAACCACTGTAAATATTTCAAATATCGTGCTTCACAACACCAAACTACTTTGAGAGTACACAAAATATATATCACATTTATAACAATTTTATACTACCACATCACTTCTATTTGCCATAGTTGCAACGTTTATATATTGTTTATACATAATTAACACAAAATAGTGTATTTTACTACAGCTTTTAATTAAAAAAGACGTTAATTACAATTCCGAGTACAGGACTCTGTTTTTGAAAATAGGACTCCCGATTGTCACGTGAGCGGTGTTGCCACGTTGTTCAGCATGGCTAGTACTAGAGTCGGCTGTGGCGCGACATAAACGGTATGGAACACACGAGGTCCCTTTTTGAGGGACCGTCGCAGAAGCTGGGTGATACATTAATTCACCTGGACAAGACGCAGTTGCGCTTGCTCGGGGGACTGGTGACAGGACACTGGTACACGAGGAAACACCTTGCACGCATGGGGCTCACTGTTGAGTCGGTATGCCCCAGGTGTGAGGAGGAGGATGAAATACCCCTCTACGCGCTCTTAAGATGCAGGAAGCTAGGGGCCTTTAGGGGATCAATCCTGGGGACCGTAGAGCTCTCATCGTTAAGCATCTTGGCTAGCCTGGTGCCGGTGCTTTTGCAATTTGCAACGGAAGCCCAGCTGCCAAGGCACAGCCAGTAAAGGGCTGTCTCGTGGCCCGGGTATAATGGTTCCTAAGGACTGAGTGCCTGGTTAGCCTCAAATTCCAGTAATAATAATCATTTGAACGTTATGGGTACTTTGTAAGGATTAATTAAATTATCCTGGTCTCTAATCTTGATACGTTTCATCCTTCCTTTGTAGCCCTTTTTAGACTTTTATCATAGAAATGTATATATTAAATATTTTACATAATTTCAATAGTAAAAAAATATTGTTATTTAATTCTTAATTACCGTGGCTTAAAAATGAGGCACTTAAAACCAAAGGGATGCAAGCAATATTCTGAACAATTTTTTAATTAACCTTTTCTCCTATGATTTATTTTATAGTTGCATCAATCAAAGCTAACTATTCATTGCTTGAATTTTGAAATAAGTAAAGAAAATTTAAATATCGTGTATACATGGCATTCAACGATCCTTGATTAGGCAAATTAGAATTAGAATTAAAATTCAGCCATACTAAAACTACCAGCCAACTTTGACACATTTGAAGTACAAGTTACGTCGTAAGTGTGACTTGATATTATATACTTTCCAATAAACAAACTACAGAATTTTGACAGAATCAAATGTGACCCTACCCTGACACTTCAGTTTTAATAAATTTAAATTTATCTTGATATTTATGAGAATACAAAATTGAAAAAAAGAAAACAAAATATAATGTTTCTATTCCTCAACCCTTGTACAGCGGACCCTTGATCAATCATGATCCAATTTTTCGAAACATACCCAGATATTAACTAAAAATTAAATGTATCATTTTTAAAGAAAAGATTTTCATGTATCAGAAGAATAGCTTTTAAAGGAACAATGTAAAGTTTAGAAAATGAAAGTAATATGAAAGAAAATAAATTAAATTAAAATTAGGCCCTTCTCCATGGTCCACCGTCTCAGTCCTATCCAATATAAGGTATTTTTATGATTTAAAATATTTATACAAAAATTAAAAAAATAATAGTTAGTAATAATCTATCAATGTAGAAGGATATATTATGTTTGATTCGAGGGATTAAAATGTGATGAAGTGGTAAGAAGTGATCGGTAGTGTGATGCTAGAGCTCTTTCGTGTTCTCCATTTTTGGTTCATCACATAACACTGATTTGAAAGAGATCATAATAGTAGTGATGGAGATTCGAAACTTCCTCTTACAAGTTTTCAAGAAACTCAAGCACGTTCGAGCTACAAATCACTTCGAATTTTATTCGAATCCTAAAAGTCTTGAAAGTCTGAAAGTCCTGATGATATCGGAAGTCTTGAAGAGTTTATCTTAGATTGCATTTGTCTATATTAGCTGTGCATTTGATTGCATAAATGCTTTAAAACCTTTTAATATCAAGCCATATTCAAAATCATTCAAATCTACGAAATGGAAAAAAGAAATGAAATGAAATATTTAAAAAATTAATAAAATGAAAATGTTTTTTCATAATTAATACAAAATTTGTAAAAAAAAAACAGATTCTATTTTGTATTACATTTATTTAAAACTGTTCCTTTTAATCCATTTCTCGGTTTTGTTTTATTATTAATCGTATTACCTATCTTAAAAGAAAATGTATTTTCAGAGCAAGACTTTCTTAAGTCTTTAAATTTAGCGAAAATGTCAATGTCTTATATAATTAATAAAATTTTCACACACTAAATATTAATTATATTTTCTCAAATTTTGTTTGCAAACTTTTTTCTTGTATTCTTTGTTAAAACAGACTGTAAATCCTTGGAGTCTATTAGCATTAGGTATTATAGAATCAGAATAGAACTACTATTTTCACATAAATATGTATTGCAAAGATTTTAATGTATTTCAGATGCTTGAAAATTTAACCGAGGAAAGATTATGAATGTTCTAGTAATTTCAGTATAGAAGACCTAGATCTAAGGCTTTTCTTATGACATATTACTTGGCTTAATTATGGTTTCAAATTGATAATCTTGAATTGTAAATTTTTAGCTGTTTTAGATCAGTTGTTGAATTTAACTACTAATTTACTTATTTTATTCAATTTTTTTCTTCTTTTCAATTAAATGTTAAATTAAAATTAGAATTTGTCATTACTTAAGAAAAATGTTTTGTAGAAGAACATTTATGCATTTCCAATTTTATTTTAGCACCATGAAACTTATTTTCCCACAAACTTCCATAAGGCCATGAAAAATTTCAAGTATTAATTTTTCTAAATAAAATCAATTATATTGATATATTAAATTTAGAAGTCGTGGCTGTAATCTTTGTTCTGCTCTATAATAATATTAAAATACGAACAGAACATTTTATGTATTATAGAAAATACAAAGTAACTTAAGTAATCCTTCGTATTATAAAATTGTGTACCTAAAGATTCAAAAATTACCCAGCAATCAAACCATAGATCGCTATATTTTCATCAACCACCTATAAGTCCAAAATGTTAATATCTACCACACGATGCACATGCATTTCAAGCTACAAAATAAGAAAAAGCAAAACGACCTATCCGTGATACCAGATATTTCCCATCAATTAATATCAACTTTTCCGCAGCAACATTTCACCTAGGTATTTCGTTTAATCCTCGGATGGCGGACCATGGAGAGAGTCCCAATCTTACAAGTTTAATCTTGTATTTCATATTATTATCATTTTTTAAATTCCACACTGTTCCTTTAAAAATTATTCTTCCGATATATGAATTAAGATATTATTCTTGTACATATTTGTAAGTTTAGGTCTCAATTGACCCAGGGTCCGCTGTTGAAGGGTTGATACGAGAAAGTGGCAAACACCGTAAACAACACGTATCTAAAACGTACACAAATTCCACGTATCTTGAGCTTCGTTTCCCTACTGCGAACATATTGGAATCCCCTCCGAGGTATTAGCGCTGTAGATTGAATTTATTCCACCTATAGGTATGCAAATTTTTCTAGCTCTCGTCTCGACCGAGTTCGACGCGGGAAAGTCGTAATTTGTCGGTAGTACGCGACCAATAGCTTTCTTGCTCGTTCTTTTGCCTCCTAACCCCTAACCACCCTCTGCTACGAAATTTCATTCACCCTCGCTCGCACTCTACTCTTTGTCTTCGTTCATCGGTTCAACCTTTCTCCTCACGTTCTCGGCCGATCGCTCTTCCGTCACTTTCATCCCCAATTGCTTCCCTCTTTTTCTTCTCTTCTTTCATCCCTCCCAGCATTCACTTGTTATATCGTTCAATCTCAATTTGAATCGCAAGCCCAGTCTCGCTCTCGTCACATTTTCCTTCTCATTCGCGCCCAGAGAAACTGCACCCGTTCCTTTTTATCTCTCTCTCTCTCTCTTTTAGTCTGCTCTTTCGTAATTTCATTCTCTTTCGTTCGTCCCTTTATTCTGGAAACGATACAGATACCCTCCGTTATGCTTGAACTGCAGAAGCCGGGACAGTCGGCCGCGACGAGCGAGGCTCCGGGGATTGCCGCCCGCTACGACTCTGCCAACACAACAACAACAAGGCCGCTTCACGAGTCTAATTCCTAGGCATCTAGTTCGCTAGAGACTCGAGAGAAAATGGAAATTCGAGTACGCGAATGTTCTCGCCTTTCAACACCTTCTTTATAGCATATATTCTTTTTCAACTTTTTTTCGCTGGTCGATTGCGTGACTGTGTATCCTCGCTTTTTTATTTGCATTGAAACGCAGAGGTATAACACCGAGCATGGTAGGTTCTTTAAAGGAAAATACACTTTAACGGGAAAAGACTTCTCCTTTCGCTAATAATACTGGGCAGTTATCACCTATTATGCCTACAAAATGTAATATATAACTAAAGAAATATTAAATAAAATTTTCTTGAGTAAATGTTGATACAGGAATAACAAGGCTTCCTTACAGAGGTACAGAATTGAGTATGGAAGGCTTCCCTAAGGAAAATAGCGATGCAGAGGAATAAGGACCCTTCACTTGTTATAAAACTCGAGTTACCACTTACTATGTTTAATTTGTACTTATATAAATAAATAATATTACCTAAATAAAATTTTGTAGAGTAAATTATTTATAGGCGAATGATGAAGTCTTCTTCCACTATATCAAGTCTGGGTGACTTGCGGCTCGAGAATCAAATGCGACTATTGTAAGTACTTTCCCCACTTCTCAGAGACTCTCGCCATACGTGAGTACAGCGTGGTAGGAGAGAAGGAACTAGAAATTCATACTTACTTACATATAGGAGGTACGTTAATAGTGGGGGAATCGGCAAACTAGTGGTGGGGGTCGCGTATAGACAGCGGAGAAGGTGTTGCCCCCGACTGCACTATATCAGTATTTTCCTTACAGAAGCCTAACATACTCGGTGCTGTACAACAGACCTATCTAACCTGCGGCCCGCGGGCCACTCGTGGCTCTTTCCCCTACCACCGAGCTCGCGTTCGGCTACCCCCACTTTTCCAGTTGGTTTCCTGACTCTTCCAATATTTGACGCGTATTCCTAGTGCTAGTTACTAGAAACCGCTGTCCCACTACTGACACTACTGAATGATGGGGGAAGTCTGAAGCGGTAAGAATGGGAGCAGTGGCTCTTTCGTTTCTAGCAGTTAGACAAGCCTGCTGTATAGTATTTAAGTATCCTAAGATGGCGTTCTGTAGAGGGGCTCCCCCCTATATTGCCCTTGGAACCCGTGCTTGCGCAAACTCATGAATGTGGCAACAGCGCTAAAATTCAATAAATGCGCCCTCTGCAAACCATTGCTGAAAGTATAATGTCATGTAGATAGCTGTGGGGAGCGATGTAAAAATCCCTAGAGCTAAGTTGGTAATCGACCGAACTCTGGTCCGAGATTCGATTCGGGATACAAGTACAGTAAAAGCTGGATATATGCAACAAACATTGGGACCCAGACGTTGCATATATCCAGCCGAGGTGTCGATTCTGTATTAGGTGTCGAGGTGTATTCAGCCGCGATACCTATTCTATGTTCGTACACAACATGCGACGTGTTGCATGTTGCATGTTGCGTGTTTGATGCATCTTTGGTGTACACTGAGTTGCATTGAACTTGTCGCAGTGAAGTTGGCCACGCATTCACTTACCGACGCGGTGTGAATGTGTTAGTGCGCCAACTTCACTGCGACAACTTCGATGGAACTCACGAGGGGAACTACCCAAGTGTTACGCTCACTTATTAATGAAACTTTGCCACCTTGTAGAGCTCGTCGCCCTGAACACGCCTATACCCCCTTTTGGGGGCAGACGGCTAATTGTTTAAAAGATATTAACAATTAAAGTTAGTTACTACTTACATTGAGAAGCATGACAGACTAACACATATAAATGCTTAGCTCCGCGGTAAAACGCTTGACTCACAATCTAACTGTCCACGGTTCAAGTCCATGGTTCCGAACTTTTTTTTTCTTTTTCTTTTTAATGATAATTTGTCTCTTTTTGAATAACTATTACAACTGTGCTATAATCATTGCATTTATTAATAGGTAATTAATTACATGTGCTGAAATTTTTATAGAATTTAAGTTATCTTTTCTATCCAATACGTACATTAACACCCTTACCGGATTCAGAATTTACACGCGTTTATTTGTTATTATTTGTTTTTACAAGTTCAATTTATTTAATTATATTTATTTAGTTACATTCATTTATACTACTGTGCAAATTTATAATTTATATTTACAACATTAGAAGAAGACGCAGAAGACATTAGTGAAAAATCCAAAACAATAGGACAGAAATTATATTCGTATTTTATGGAAATTAATTGTGTGTGTATAATAACAAATAAACGCTAGTAAATTTTGAATGCGGTAAGGGTGTTAATGTACGCATTGGATAGAAAAGATAACTTAAATTCTATAAAAATTTCAGCACATGTAATTAATTACCTATTAATAAATGCAATGATTATAGCACAGTTGTAATAGTTATTCAAAAAGAGACAAATTATCATTAAAAAGAAAAAGAAAAAAAAAGTTCGGAACCATGGACTTAAACCGTGGACAGTTAGATTGTGAGTCAAGCGTTTTACCGCGGAGCTAAGCATTTATGTGTGTTAGTTTGTCATGCTTCTCAATGTAAGTAGTAACTAACTTTAATTGTTAATATCTTTTAAACAATTAGCCGTCTGCCCCCAAAAGGGGGTATAGGCGTGTTCAGGGCGACGAGCTCTACAAGGTGGCAAAGTTTCATTAATAAGTGAGCGTAACACTTGGGTAGTTCCCCTCGTCAGTGTACGGCCTGCCTTATGTTTGGTATCATTTTAATCAGAAAAATCTCACACATGCGTTAGTAAAAGTTTCATTAAGAAAAAGTTAAAAATAAAAAGGTTTTATCGTTGAATTAGTATTAGTCACACCGATATAACAGTTCCGATCGTATTACACGGCTTCCTCGTCGAGCATCTCGGTTCGCTTAGGGGGATCCCCCCAAGTGGAGGGGATAGCGATGTTGCATATATCCAGCCAATCTTTCGTTACATATATCCAGCTTTTACTGTGTGCACGACGAGCAGTGGAACTTCGAGTTGGCTCGGCTCGGCAAAACTCGGGCGTGATCGGCAGAGAGGCAAACATACTCGTATCCTGGATCGAACCTCGGACCAGAGTATCGCCGATCATGCCAAATGTTGCCCTGTTGCCACATTGATGAGTTCACGCGTGCACGGGTTCCGAGATAAACGGTAGAGATTCGATAAAAGCCAAACGATCGGGACCAAACTTTCGTTTACATCGTGCAGATCTTTTTCGCTTTCATCGAATCTTTACTGTATATTGGTCAGTGATCCCCCCACACTTTTACGCGGGAAAATTTGAATTAATATTTATGTTATTAGTTATAATTACACAATATTCTGTATTTTGTTAACTATATATATTGAAAATAGAGGTTGCAAATATCCTTTAACATTTCATTTCTACACTGCTGCCTTAATGACTCTTTTCAACAGAAACGTGTAAACGCGTATATCTTATTAAATTTTTTATCAATTCGCTTCGTTACATTATTCTCTGCTGAAAGCTATAGAACATTTGTCGAGTAACTCTTTTCTCTCTACAATAGTCATTGAGATATCATCAGAGGGGTGAAACTTTTCTGAGGGTGGGCATTTTAGCCAAGAATAATGCGTGTTCTCATACTTTTAGCTGTTCCATAAACTTATACGATGATAATATTCAAAAATTATGCATTTTACTAATGCTCTCTGCAAACAACCTTTTCAAATTTCAAAAATTATTGTAAAAGTTCAATTCTTTTTAGAACAACTTCAATTCTATTATCTTTTTCTTATGCAATAAATTGGATTTTACTTCCTTTTACGCATAAGGATACGTACCAGAGTGCCCGTCTTCAATTTTGATAAAACTTGGCAGATATATTGAGCAGGTGAAAATAAAAGACATGTAATTTTTTGTAGGCGCCAAATTACAAGTTTAAGAGTTGCAACTTTTTTAAACTACAAGAATACGTCATCTCGTAAACTAATCCTTTTGACTGTTCAAAAAAATTCAAATCATGTAGTTCAAATTAAAAAAATTATTCTCTTTCAAAAGAAATGTTGATAGTTTTCAGACGTATTTTATCTATTATGATGAAAGATTAGTTTTAAGCATCGGTCAATAAAAATCTTTAATTTGGTTGATTGATTAACATCTACGATTAAGAAAACTTATTATGCTGAGAATCGCAATTGATTTAATCAGTTGATTGAATTAGTCGTCAATCATTAATTATAAATATTAATGGTTAATCAACAATCATTTATTACAAATATTAATTACTAATTATGTACACATTGTTAGTTTTTAATTGAAACTTAATTATGATTCTATTTAATGTGTGCGTCTTGTAAATCTTGGTTATCCTAGTTACTAGGACCTAGTAAAAATAATATTCAGGTAAAAACAAGTTTTTTTTATTATAATTCTATTATTAGTTTCATCCCTCAATATCCCTTTTTCAAAGTTAGATAGTTTCAAAGGTATTTGAAAATGAACGACAATTTGTATTTGAATATTAATTTCACGACTAAGAAAATTTTAATAATTAATTGTTACTTTAACTAACGATGAAACACCTACTACTTTAATCATTTATCCAATTCTGCACGAAATCTTTACTTTAATCGTTAATTAAATATTTAAATATCAACGTAATAGTTGATAATTAATTGTATTAATTATTACGCAACACTGTCTATTGAAAATAAAAAATAGAAAGGATGGTATCGTACTAATAATATAATGTGCGGTACCAAATTCAAAGCTTGATTTGGATAATTAATTAATAATTAACACGTTGATTACCATAATGATCACCGGTGATCAGTGTCTCAGATTTCATGTAATTGAATCATTAGACAATAAGAAAAAGAAAAACAAATCGTAAATATCATTACCATTATTCTAATATGTAATACAAAATACCAAACTGAAATTTTTAATTTAAAAATTCACCCATTTAGAGCGTAACACTTGAGCTATCGGCGTTCAATGTACATTGAATTTAAATTGAAAATAAAGTAGAAAAATAAATAAATAAAAAATGCAACCTAAACTAGCATATACAATAATTCTTTATCTTAACAAAAGTCGACGTAGATTTAAAAAAAAACAGAAACATTTTAATAAATTCCACAATTTAAAATAAGAAACTTAAAACCTGTTATTTTGATCTCGTTGGTAGTTCTAATTTTTAATAATTAATGTTTTAATGCGTCTGACCTGAACACGTCCATTTCTACTATGGCAGTCAACGTGTTAATAATTTAATGTCTTAGGTACAGATGTCCACCTTTACCTTCAACGTCTTAAACACGACGTTATTTTAAAAAATTTATACGTCTGACCCAAATAAACTATAATGCTTACTTGAAAATATTGAAAAAACATAAATTTTGTATGGCCCATTTTGAATAACAAATATCACTTATAACGAATTTATAGCTGATATAGCTTCATGAATAAATTGCCTATTCCATCGGTAATAACCTAATACGTATGAGTTATTTGTTCTTCAACGGTTTCGTTCTTTTTTTTTTCATCACACTGTCCTGCAACTTCAGGGATTGATTAATGGAAAATTTGAACGCGTGGCGTTATTAAAGTGCCTTCCTGTTATCAAATTTATCGGAAAAACCATTTGGACCGGTGACCAGCAAACAAAGGACCTCGAAAAAAAGCTGGTAGCTGGATTTACTTTTCCATATTCATTAGTTCTATCCGATTGTTCCAGCTTATTCGAGCTTGTTTGCTTTTTCACGATTCTACAGCGGGCTAACTTTTCAGCTTCAGGAAATATATTCCAGGTAGCATCGAACGTTTTCTGCGATACTTTGCAGAAGATTGTCCTTTCAGCGAATAATACTCATCGTGATCTATTATCGTGTAAATCTGTTCGATAGCCGTTTTATAAAAACGAACGCTAATAACGCTATTATCATCGACAATGAATTTTGATTTCGCGCAGGAAACAGGAAACCGGCGAAGAATTTTAAACAGACAGATATTTTATCGTTAGAAACCTCGACACAAATGGGCAATAATCTTTATTCATTTTATATTGTGTTGAGAAGAGCGAATTTATATTGACTTTGTTAAACATTTAATGCAGAAATTGAAAATATTGTTAACCCTCGGACAGCAGTCCATGAAGAGAGCTCCAATTTTAATTTAATTTTTTATTTTATATCGAAGCTAATGTAATACTATTAGCAATTATAATTTCAAAATTATTATTTTTTAAAAATTATTATCTCTTTTTTAAATTGTTGGGTTACATATCATGAAGTGTTGAATTTTTTAAAAAGGAATGAAAATTGTTCTTTTTTTTTTTATTCAAGCTAATATTGTAGGATGCCGGGGGAAAAATTATGACGTTTCGTCTCAGGAACCGTCCACTAGAACTCGTCAGTGGGGCTGACGTGGACTGTCCCTGCTCCAGACGCCTGGATTCTATATTCTCAGATGTTATAAGGCCCGTGATGGAGCGCTTGCAAGAAAGGATGGAGTGTTACTCGCGCGACACCTTGCGGCCATCACGGGAAAAAGGTCCATATTTCGCTTATAACTCCACAATATTTTATTTCATTGTATGACTCTTTTCTTAACGCGATTTCAACAAAAAGTTTCTTCCACAAAGAAGATTTGAATCTTTTAAAGACACAACGTTTTCGCATTGCAAAATGTTTTATTTAGTCTGCAAAGTTTCAAACTGCCGTTCAAGTAATAATTCATCGGCCATTTCTCAGTCCAAATCATTTAATTTTTGCAAGATCATACTAGCTGTATTTGTATTAATTAATGTAATATCCGTTATGGTAAATTCATAATTTATAACTAATAATATTAATGCGTATTCGTATTGCGATATTGTAAAAATCAATAGAGAACTATTCTGACCTAACCCAATATTTCACTAAACTTTAGTGACTAAGGTAAACCACTAGGTGCTAGACAGTAAAGAACACCATTTATGGGTGTCTTACTCGTTAAAAGTATTTAGCGCCGAAAGGATTAAGTCCGTGTCATCATTTGTCAGCGATAACGGCAGTAAACGTTTTGAGGATGAAAAATTTAAAAGGCTGTAATCTTCCTTTAATAAACTGTTATAAATATTCCTAGTTACTCTTATCTCTAATGCTGGGGCCACATCTGCGTTAACGTTCAACAGCCATAAACATTTATGCAGTAACTACAACAACGCGACGCAATATGCGTGAAGTCTCTATTAATATTAACGAAAAATTTTGCATAATAAAATTTCCGCAAAATCAGAATCGTAAAGACGCGTCGTCATTCCATTCTCTCTCAAGTCTCCGCGTATCGATAGGTGAGATCTAGCTAGAGGTGTCCGCCGGCCTGGCGAGCGCGCCATTTATCCGTCGAGCAACCGAACTAGAAGAAATGCGCGGGAAGAGGGAAAAACAGAAGCAAGAAAAGTGTGCAAAGAGAAATTATGCGATGGTAGAGATGGTATTATCACTCACTCGGCGTTGGTTTCCGGCGTGGGTAGATCGCCGATGGTGGTGAGGGTTAGGGTAGACCAGTACAGCGAGCCGAGGTACTTCCTGGTGAGTGTGGCGTACTCGCCCGGTCGGTACGGGTAGACCCAGTCTCCTTGGAATCCTTCCGCTTCGCTGAGCAAGTAGTAAAAGCAACCGAACCAATGGGCCAGTATCAACAGTATGTGTATCAAGTTCAGCACGCGCCACAGGTTCGGATAAACAGTTCGCGACTCGACCATGTAATAGTAATTGTACACACGGTAGATCTTCAAGAACCTGGGGAACCGTAGCATGGGATTGCTGCCCAGGTTCACTTGAAGCAGATCGAGCGGCAACAACGCGAGCAAGTCCAGAATGAACGACTTGGACTTGAGGTAATGGCCGGCCAGCTTCTTGCTGTCGTAGACCATCAAACCTTGCTCGAGGTATCCGGTACGGAATTGCACAGCCACGTCGAGGAAGAACACCAGGTCCGTGAAGCCGTCGCACGCGAGCCAACCGGCCGGCGCCAGCGCCTGTAGTTCCGGCAGGCTCTGTCGCACGATCAGCGTCCACAGATTGTATAGCACGCAAGCGGACAGAAGCATCAGCCAGTAATAATAGAAATTCTCGTCCGGATTCACCACGGTCTTCGGTGGTTTCTGAGGTCTCCTCGATCGTCTACGACGACGACCATTCGAGTCCTTATCGTCAGCCGCGTCACCTTCGCCCTCGCCAGTGTCCAACGTCTCCTGGCTCTCCGGGATCTGCCTGGTGGAGAATCGTTTTAGAAACGAGTCTTCGCGTTTCAGGGGTGGCTTCTTCTGAATCGTCGAGATCGCGGACGATAGCTGCACCGTAGTGCGCAGCTTCATCCAACGCTGGTTGCTCTTCGTTCTGCGAACAGAAAGAAGAATAGATCGCCAGTGAAGGACGGAATGGACGGTGGTGAATCGATGTCCTTACGAGGTCAGAGAAGTTGCCCTCGATTCTGGCTCGAAGAGATTACAAAGGACGTGTTTACGGTTGTTTAACGAGAAACGGACTCGTTACTTTTTGGATAACGCTAACATTACTTGGAGAAAGTTCGCGTCTCCTGGCGTTGATCGATTCGGGGATTGTCCCTGTTAGGTTTGTTGGAAAGTTCTATTTGTTTTCTAACAGGAATTGGAAACCAAGTTTCCAATCCTTTTTCTGGTTTCACAACTACTACAGAGTAGTAGTTAAGAAAATATTTTTTTAGCCACCGAGTTCATAACTTGGTGGGAGGATAGACCATTAAGTTGAAAATCAAGAAATATCTGTATGGTTCATTTAAATTCATTTAAATTTAAAAGTATGGTTCATTTAAATTGATTCAAAGTTTGTTTAAATAGAAAACATTTTATAACATCAATTTAAATTAAATTCTGGAATTGAAAGAGAAACAATGTTTGGAGGAATAGAAAAAGGAAAATCTATTTGGTAAATAGGAAATAAAAGAAGAATATAGAAGAATAAAAGAAATTATATTGTTATTATTAAGAACAGATAGAACTTTCCAATGAGCCTATCAGTTTTCAATGAAAATTGAACAAAATTACTTGCTTCACCCATTAAAAAATTTAAACCATTTGCACCGTTCCATTTTCAAATAATCACGTGCATTCTAATGACGTAAAAAAAAAGCAACAGTAGAGTAAAATAAAAATGAAATTCAAAATTGTTTATAACTGAGATTCAACATCGCGAGCCGCATATTTAATTTCCACTTTAATGGTTTTAAAAAATTGTATTTACGAACGTAAATTAGAGTTCACAACGAAAAAAATTTGTCTTTAAACGTGGTAAATTTCGGTTGGAAGAAAGAAATAATGTATGATCAAAGAAATTTCAAATTCTGCGGTGTTCTCGAGCACAAAGACGCATATAATACATGTACTATCTCCAGAGAGTTGTCGCAAATGCTCAATATTCACCATTCTGGTAAATAGCGATTGTGTGCTGGCCGAATTTCCAGTTTATCGTTGTTCATGTTGCAATCGAGGATTCAACTTGGAATCCTCGTGTTTTGCGTAATATCAGATCATGTTATACGCAATGCTAGGTCATATATTATTTGAAGCATTTAGAACCAAATGGATACAAGTGACATCTGTTTATTTATTTGCGATATTATATAATGTCGACATGCGATATGCGATAATCTTTTCTGTTTTTTACCAAAAATTTACAAAAAATGTCACTTGCATCCCTTTGGTTCTAACAAGGGACATTACCCAATCGACACACGCCGATTTTGATGCCCTTTGAGTATGACATAGAACTCAAAAAAATATTTGACACGTATTTTTTTTATCCTCAATCGTCCATGCTGAAGGGGTGAAAAAATGACAAAAATAGATTATTTTTCAATATATTTTTTAAACAAATAAATGTATCAAAAAGGTGGCTACATAGAAAAATTTGCTGTTCAAAAACACACAAATTCCATCTTGAATTTTTCGCGTACACCTAATAGTTCCTGAGATATTCAAGAAAATATGTTTTGCAACCCCAACTTTGAGGGCTATTTTCACCCCTTCAGCATGGACGATTGCCGATAAAAAAAATACGTGTCAAATATTTTTTTGAGTTTTATATCATACTCAAAGGGCATCAAAATCGGCGTGTGTCGATTGGGTAATGTCCTTTGTAAGTGCCTCTTTTCAAATTTCTAGCAAATAGTAAATAGTTTATTTTATTTCAAATCTTGTCTATAAGTTTGAAAATAAAATATGTAGTTTTCACAATTATGCAGACATTTTATTTGTACAGTGGACTCTCGTTATATTGCCACGTGAACGAGCTGACTTTCACACAGATTTTCAAGCATTTTATAATGCTACTCTTTCACCATCATAGCCTATGAACAATTTAATCCCTCTTTACCACTCCAACTAAAAGTTTGAAAATTTTCCGCCCCTATGGTCCCGTCCGCGACAATGTAACGAGAGTCTACTGTAGTGCTCAAATATGTATGTGTTAGGTATATGTATACTTTTTTTTCTTTCTGAAAAAATCAACAGATGGTACAATTACTTGCAATAATAGTAATATTGTGGAATTAGAATTAGTGCAATATTTAGGCAATAAATAGTGTTTTGACTTTGTTTCTCTGCATGTTTTCTTGCATGTGAGTTCTGATAGTGGATACAAAATTTATGAAAAGTAGGAAATATGCAACAAAATTATGCGGAAATATTAAGAAATTAACCCTTCAACAGCGGAACTGGGATCAATCGTTATCCAATCTTATCAAACAAGGATATTAACCTAAAGTTAAATGTATAATTTTTAAACGAAAGACTTTCATATATTAGAAGAATAATTTTGAAACGAACAGTTTAGAAAAAGAAATTAATATGAAATACAAAAATAAATTAAAATTGAGGATCTTTCTGTGGTCCACCGTCCAAGGGTTATAAATGGCGTACATGTATGTATACGTGTAAGCGTATAACATATGTAAGCAAGGCATCAGGCCCGCGATATCGCGTGCTGAACAGTGAACGTGTTACAAATACTGATTAGCTATAATTGTACGGAATCGGTTTGATATTTTAAATCAATTCTTTAACTGTACAACGGCATAAAAAGAACTCTATGCAAAATCAATTATTATAGGTACATCATTTTATTATTTTGATTACTTATAACATGATCTGATACAACGCTATTTAATGCAATTCAAAATTGTTGGAATTGAATTTGATAATATGTATTTGATAGATCCAATATTGATATCCCAAGAGGTATTGCAAACCTACCTTCCATTTTTATTAACAGTTTTTCATCGAGCTGTTCTTTTTTTGTGGTAAAAATACAAGCTGGTGAAATGTGTATTTTAAAACAACATAGTGAATTTTTATTTAAATGATTTAATTGTTTATGTGAAAATATAATTTTTTGCTTTTTTTTGTATGTACAGAAGGAAACATCTAAAAGTTTTATTTCAATTTATAATTTCAAAGGAAAAACAAATTTGTTTATAAGTATAGTTCCCGATATTCTCAAAGCTCTCAGTATTCTTTTTTCTTGAGCTATAAAAAATGTATATTAAAAGTGATATTTAACATAATTTTAGTGTAATTTTAAGTTTCGTTGTACATACTACTCAAAGTAAAGAAAAACAAAAAAAATATAGTAAGTAAAAATTAATATCTAATATATTAGACATAAAGTATATATACTTACATATATAGAATGCAATAATATTCTAATTTAATTATTTACTGAAATTCAGTGTTCTAATTTTCACCTGATTTCAATATAAAAATAAAAAATAAGGATAAGTTGGTGTACGAATCTAATAATTAAAAATTGGACTGTTTTAGTATTCTTGGTGTCATATTTTTGTACCAATAAGTTAACCATAACAATCATTCAATCTATTTTCCATATTTTTCCTTTCTTTTTTTAATTTTAATAAGCAATCTCAAAGATTTTGTCACGCAAATTTTTACAAAAATATTTAAACGCTTGCATTCTACATTATTAACAAACAAAACACACACGTTGAATCATATTAAAAAATAATACCATAACCAGTGGCGGCTCGCGTATAAGCACTGTGGAACTGCAGCACCCCTTATTTCCACTTGATATTATCGATAGCATTTAATATAATGAGTTCATTTTTCTTTAATTCTTTCTTTGTACTTGTACAATATATAATCCTTAAGCTTAATGTCAGTAGTCATCCCCCAGTTTATGAAAAAGATACAAAAATCTTTGTATGGAACTGCGCACTTCACAGTTCCAGCGGCTCGGCGTGGTGTTAGACTGTGTACGCATGCGCACATAGGAAGCTGCGCGCGAGGCTGCGCGGGAGAGAGAGAGCACTGTCGCTCCCGCAATGCCGGTTTTTTAAAACAAAGGCTAAAAATTATCTAAAGCAATACCCTCACTAATTTTAACCACGAGCCGCCACTCACCATAATCAAAGTAATATACGAGTCTTGCGAAGGTGAAGAATTAGTAGAATATTGTATGTGAAGATACTATTCACGAAAGCTACAAATGTCTGCATTGGTTCATGTTCATATTTATGATTAGTTGAATCCCCTTTGAGATTAATCATCGTCTAAACTGACTATTTGTCTTATGAACAGTATCAAGCAAATCAGGCTTCCCTAGGAGAAATAATGGCGTTAGAGGAATAGTAGGAGCCCTCAAAATCTTAATTTTGACGATATTAATATTAAAAGTGATTTAGAAACAAAATAATGTAACTTCTAATTATTAAATATTATAAAATCTAGTATATAATTAAGAAATATTAATAATAATATAAATGTAAAAAATTCTTCTACGTAAATGTTCTTACGCAAGCGGGAGGGAGCCACAGACTATCTTCCTCACATTGCCATTCTCCCTACGGCTATGCATGGGGAGAGGCGGGAGTTCTGGGAAGGGCTGGGTACCTTTTTCTGTAAGGTCCTTTAGGAAAAGTGGCTTTTATTACCAATATTTTTGATTTATATAGTAAATTTTATAACATCTCAAATTAGTAATTATATTAATTTTTCTAAATTAATCTTTATACAATAATAATAAATATTTTCAAAATTAGGATTTTGAGAATTTCCTCTTCCTGTTATTTTCTACAGGGAGCCTACCATGCTCGGTATTGTACATACCACAACTTTTTTTATTTGCAACCATATACTTACATACTGTAATTACAATTTATTTTTGAAATGTGAGCACAATGTGTACACTCCATTTGTTAGCAATTCAGAATGCAAACTACTACAATTCTTTTATAAACGACATTTAAATATCTTCTCGTATACACACAATTAAACACGTCCAATGCACTATTGTACCACTGTTCTAAGGAGCTTTCGAGACAATTTATAGGTGTCTTTGTAGGTCTCAAGAATTTCAAAGCTCGCTTAATGTAACCAAGATAAATTGGTCCAAATCAATTCACCAGCTTCATGAAAATAATTTTTCATAGAAAGAAAAAGAGAATGTTAGATCACGTATGTTCATTAGACAAGAAGATTAACTAATAGAGATTCTAGTCAAAAATCAGTTTCATTTGCATTTTAGTAAAACGCATTCCACACTGGGTTCCTTCGCTCGGTGCATCGTGCAATCCGTAATTGACACATTAAAATAAATAAGAAAAAACATAAAAATGGTTCACGTTCGCTTGAGTGGCCGAATCGTTGTCAAACCATACCCATGCATTTCATAGGATTCGTAGTCAAAGGGGCCATGTCTCTTTGAAATATCTCGTTGCACACTTTTCGCTATCAAAAAAACGTGTAACTATGATAATCGTTTGCAAGCAGACATATCAATCCTAATTTCGTTCCATTCGCTAAACCCAGTGAAATGACAATCTGTTCGCGCGATAGACAATCAACGATCTCTTCTTTCCAATTCACTTAATTAGTTCTCTAATTCTATGAAAAGACAGTAGTAGTAGACAGTGAGTGATTCTTGCTTGAAAAAGTAAGAAGTGAGCGAGAATTCGAATAGATTCAGTTGAAGTAATCAGAGCATCAGATGGATGAGAGGCAGACAGACAGACAGACAGACAGACAGACAGACAGATATAAACAAACAGACAGAGACAGAAACATCGAGAGAGTTGTCAAGTTAGACAGAGGTAAGAATGAAACTAAAGGTAAAATTTTATTATGCCACTACGCATTCTTTAATCGTTAATACACCCATGTTTAGTGTACATATTGTGATGTATAGTTTGCACGTGTGTGTTTGAGAGCATACAGAGTGTCAGGAAAAGGGTTCATGGTGTATCAGTTAGATAATAATGTTTAATAAATGTGTGTCGATAAATAAAACCTTCCAAAGTCGTCTGTGAACTTTTATTTTTTCTTTTATTTTTAAACAAATTTTATCTTATAATAAATGATGCTTAAAATGTTCTATATTCAAATTCAACATTTTAAGCACCACCTAATCTAATATTTTTATGATACTTATATAGGCTTATTTATTATCTATGTTTTCAAATTTTTGGTAAAACTATTAATAGTTTAATAGGTAATACTGTCAAATAGAGGTGAAATGACAGTCAGAGTGTTCAAGGATATTTGTTTAATAATATCAGATTATTTTTATTAGAATAGTATTAGATAGTTTACTAATACTGTTTTAATTGGTAACATTACTATTAATACTATTCTATAGTAATATTATTAGTTAATGATATTAGATGTTATTTAACGCTAATATTACTTAAAAGTAGTATATTCTAACTAAAAATATGTATTACTTAATATTAGTACTATCTGATAGTAATATTTAAAATAGTATTACCATTAAGTAAGCCTAGTATTAAGTAACAGTATAGTTTAAAGTTTAAAATAATATTACTATTAATTAATACTAGCAATAAACAGTATAGTTATTATTTAGTATAGTATAAATAATAATATTACTTATTATTGTAATTATCCTAATCAGAAAGTGGTGGATCAATAACTTTGTTCACCTCAAACATTTACATTATTTGTTAGAACATGGATAAATGTTAAACATCAAAGTTGTATAGAATAGATTAAAGAAAATATTCTTTGTAGTGAGTGATCAATTCTATTTTCTCAGTTGGAGTAATATACCTGTTATTTTACATTTAAAGCAATGGCTATTACTTTGGAAGCACTGTAGTCGCTACTGACGCAACTAGGTAGGAGTCAAAGTGGGTCAAAAGTGGGACCTTATCAAAACTTTAAGATTCTAAAAATCCACAATTCCAAAATTCCAGACTTCTACAATTTCAAAATGAAATTTTAAAATTTCTATGGAACCTGCTCCACTCCGAAAAAATCCTGGTTACGTTAATGGTAATCGCCTAAATATAGGGCTACCTTTGAGAATATTTGGTAAACATACAATCCAAACAAATCAATTCATTATTTATTATTGTTCTTATGAATGTATTTAAAATTTTAAACGAAAGCCTGCAGCTAAATTTTAATAAATTTTTAGTAGACCCCTCGCTGAAATGTGTTACGGTACGTTCATTGTTACAACATTGACAATGTTTATACTGTACAATTAATCTAGAGTCAAATTAGAAAACTGTTTAATATCTAGAAACTTATGTCTATTATGGTAACAGAAAAAGGTAGATATTTCAAAAAACATGGACTGCTAAAAAGTTCACAAAAAAACGCAGATATGCCTATTATAATAGGCACAGATTTTTAGGTTCTAAATATTTTGATCTAGATTACAAATCAATCATATAATATGATCACTGTTAACGTTATTAATCAATTAGTGAATTTGATTCAAAATTTTTGTTCCCATTTTTCAATATTCTACATACATCAACCATAATAAATAATAGATTGATTTATTGGCATTATTTGTTTGAGAAAAATTCTTAAAAATGTCCCTACTTTTCAGACCTTTATTTCCAAAATAATAGTTACTGCGCTAAATATAAATAATATATCACTCCACTAAAAAAAATTCAATTGACCAGCTCAAAAAAATTATTTTCATTACTTTATGTAATATAAGTTTCATGTACGAAATTTTTCCATATTATCACAAATAACATAAATATTTCAAGTTCCAAATGAACAAAATTATTTTCCCTCCCTCTATAAGTAAGATCATAATAGAACACTATTTTTTATAGCTCTGAAAACGTTCCTTTTCTCGACACACGTTCAATAAATATTGCACATCCAATTCAGCAATTGTGTGCCCTAAACCCTTCGTTTGAACACTCTGTATAGGTGTGATAGTTTATACGCAGTGTGTGCAGGCGTTTAGTACATAGTCGCTCTAAACACGGTACACTTGAAAATCAGTTGTTCTTCTCTAATCATTCAAAAGATAGCAGTTAGAGAAGGGGCGCTCAAACACGTTGCATACACGGGCGTCTGACTTGTTGCGGGTATCGTGTCTACTACTGCCATTTATCGATCGGCGATTGGCAGTGGGAAGGGAAGCAACGCGAAAGAAGCCCTCCCCACTCTTAAAGATCCTAGCCTGGGACGAAGACGTACTGTGCGCTCGTGAAGAGATGGTCCGCACTTGGAATGTGGGTCATATTACGAGTCATCCTTTTCTAATACAGGTTCTACCATTTATCTCGGAACCCGTGCACGCGTGAACTCAGGAATGTGGCAACAGCCCAACATTTGGCATGATCGGCGATACTCTAGTCCAAGATTCGATTCGGGATACGAGTATGTTTGTCTCTCTGCCGATCGCGCCCGAGTTTTGCCGAGCCGAGCCGACTCGAAATTCCACTGCTCGTCGTGCATACTCGTATCCCGAATCGAATCTCGGACCAGAGTTCGGTCGATTATCAATTTAACTCTAGGGATTTTTACATCGCTCCCCACAGCTCTCTACATGACAGTATACTTTCAGCAATGGTTTGCAGAGGGCGCATCTATCGAATTTTAGCGCTGTTGCCACATTCATGAGTTTGCGCGCGCATGGGTTCCGAGATAAATGGTAGACCCTGTATAACTGCGGAACACATGATTCATGCAGTCCTGACATTTGCCGAAATGATCATATCTACGAATAAATTGATGCATATATAGTGGAAATCTCCTCTTTCTTCTCCCAGAATGATCCCGTATGCCACCTCGTCGCGAGCGGACAGTAGATTAATTTCATACTGATTGGGCTAACTTTACACGATCACAATTTTTCTACAAGCTTCGGTGATCCACGGTATAGGACACGGCTTGCCAGTAGTTTGACAATAGGCACTAAATCTTGATTCACGAAATCATAGAAACGTTCGTTAAGAAACCTGTGGTCATGTAAAGTCAGTCACTAGCTGAAGGTGCCCAGTCGAAATCGTTACAGCTAGGAGTACCTAACGCTAAAGCTACCTCCCCACTCTTAATTACTCTCACACGAAGCAACTTGTACAGTCCACCGATCACAAGAAGTCTCGCAGGACTGCACATCGACTGACCTCCTAGTTTTACACGAACCTAATTAGTAGATGTGACCGCTTCGACCAATCATATGTCACGACCGAAAGTACGTGTGAACTGAGGTGGGGCGCGAACAATCAAATTGCGTTATTATCATGAGACTTGTTGTGATCGGTAGATAGTATGCACTTCGAGCCCGTAACATGCACGCGTCCAAATATGGGCGTAGACGGGCACCCGTGCCCAGCGCCCGCGCCCAGCGCCCGCGCCTGGCTTACCACTTGCTGAGCGCCCCTGGGTCAGAGAGTGAGAACAGTGTTAAGCATCAGCATTAGAGGTGGGCGAGTACTCGATTCATTCGAGTACTCGAATTTCGAGTCAAACAATGATCGGTCGGTCGAGCCGAGTCAAGCGCTTGAATTTGCCGAATTACTCGAAATCGACGAACTGCTTGAAACAAAAGCGAGCTACTCGAAAAAATCGAACTACTCGAATATTCGAGCTGAAAACTCATCTTCAAGTAAATCGAAGTTTTACGACCAGTTCGTCGATTTTGAGTAATTCGGCAAATTCAAGCGCTCGGCTGAATCGAAGCGAATTCAGCTCGGTTTGTAAATTACGAGTACTTGCACACCTCTAATCAGCATACGTTGAAAAATAAACATTATTATTACTCCGTATCACCAAATAGAACTTCTAATCTAAAATAACACTTACGATTACATAGTCACCGATATTTTCACTCGTTCTCCTCACTACTTATTGAGATCCAACGTTTCGCCTTCGCTGTTTTAGTTTCGCAAGATTCCTAGCAGCTACATTCTCAGAAAGAGAATTCTACGTTTCTTGCATTCTAACGTCTCATGCAAAAGGTATTTGTGCAACGAGGACGATTCGAAACGAAAGCTTTCAATACATTACCGATAACGTTGGCTTCTTTCGCTTGCTACGAATTGCGAAAAGTACGTAAGTCGATCAAATACAAACGAGACTCTTTGCAAATATCCTTATTCGATTGCATTTACTAAAGAACTTCATGGCAATTTTCTCCCTAGCTTTTACTACCAAATTGAATATGTTGATTCATCTTTGATTTAACTCTTCATGGGCAAACATATTTTTCCACATTTGTAGGAAAATTTTTACTATTTTAAATTTCAAAAATATTTCAAAAAATTCTTCAATATTTATCAAAGTTACTACAACATTATACAATCATTTATTGCTTTAAATGTTCAAAATGTTTTTATTAATAAAATATATTTTATAAAGTAGTTTAGTTTAATAAAATATATTAAAAATAATTTTAGTCTTTTTTAATAAAAATAAAAATTCGAGGGAAGGTTAACTTTTGTTTGTAGTACCAATAATCCAAATTGTCTATTTTTTTTTTAAGTTTTTCTATTTGACCATCATTTAAAAATTTTTGTTCCTGTTTAATACCAAAAATTATAAGAATGTACAACGTTCAATAAATATTACAGCATCGAACTAATGAATTAGAGTGAACTGCTTTCTTAGTTTAAATTGTATAAACTCGTCATCAAATTATTAATTACTATAATTATTTGTAACTGAATTATTATGATAATAGGGACAGAAGAAAAAATACCTTGCAACTCGTATGGAAAGAGTTACATGGTCCAAATAAATTATAGCGGCAAGGTGATAAATCTGGGTCATCAGGAGAATGTGAAGTAAAGTTTTGACAGTGATTGAATAGTTCTCCCAACGTCTATTGCATTATGCCGGCGATATAGATCCGCACAAATGCACCAGGCACTTTCCGTTCTACCATCCTACTTGTTATAAGAAGAAAATTGGTGTTCAACGAATTTAATCCATTAATACTCTAAGTTGCATCTACAAAACATTTTGCTGTGCCTTTTGCAGTTGCAACTACAAATGATTTACATGCAGTTCAACACCTTTATCAGCATGCTCATTTGACTTTTATATTTTTTATTTATTTTTAAAGTTCAATTTAACCCTTTGCCTTTGAATTTTTGCAACATTTGCATCAGTGATAGCTAACTGCTGCAAGGTTAAATAACAAAATTGAAATATTATGGATACTTTGCATTTAATGATGCTTGATTGTAAATCTTATAATTAAATTTAGAATTCATCTAATATACTAAAGAATCCAACTAAATTTGTATATGCATTCTTTTATTTCAGTAAAAGACTTGAAACAAAGAAATGAGGTAAGATATTTGAATTTAACTAATGTCTCCTCTAATTCTTCAATTTAAAAAAAAAACATAAAGAAACGGTTTGTTAATTGTGTATTATGTCAAAGTGGAATATTCTTCAATAGAATAAGCCTTATAACAATAAAAAAAAAAAAATGAAAATAATTTGTGATGTATAGCATCAGGCAAAGTATGCTTCCTTAGGGAAAATGGTGATGCAGAGTAATAGGCACATTTAATTTTGGCGATATTGATATTTAGAGTGATTTAGGAAAGAAAATAGTAAAATTTTTAATTACTATGCACAAATGGTGGAGAGTCACAGATCTATACAGGGTGTCCCAGAACTGGGGTAGGATCCGTGGAGGAATGATTGCCGAGGTCATTCTAAACAACCTTTCCCTTTGCCAAAATGTTGGTTAAGTCTTCCTTTTCGCGTTATTAACGAAATCCTATTACACCGACGTGGTGCCGATGCACTTGATCACGACCACGGTTTGAACGCAGAGCATACGCAACACTCTTGCGGTTCGGCCCGCGCTAATGGCGCGCTCTGATTGGCCAGTGTTTTTCGTTAAACCAACATTTTGGCAAAGGAAAAAGTTGTTTAGAATGGCCTCAGCAATCATCCCTCCACGGGTCCTACCCCAGTTCTGGGACATCCTATACATATATGTCTATAAGTGGGGTCTTCTGGGAAGCTCTGGGAAAGGGAGGCTTATGAAATTGCCATTTTTTTTGCGAAAGTCTACCATGCCTCGTACTGTACAATTCATTTTCTTAATACCTTATTCTAATACGTTATGAATAAATCAATTTATGTGAAAAGAAAAACTGCGCTTTTCTGCTGTATTATTGCACTTCTGGAAAAAGTACGATCGCAGAAACATACACATTGTTATTAACTAACTAGCCTAATTGGGTGACACTCTGTATCACAGAGTTGGGCATTATTCAAATAATTTTCAAATTACACAAAATTACTAAAAAATAATAAATAATTGTAACGAAAGCTGATTGAAATTAAGAATTATTTGATATTCTCGAATATTTTTGTTTCATTCGAAATTCGTATTCAAGTATTACCCATTTTATAATAATTTACTAATTAATTTAATTTATGTTTTCTAAAAATTTTTTCATTTTTTCTGTCATTGACTCAAAATCAAAGAAATATTTAACAAAACCAAATAATAATTACCATTTAAAAAAGAGAGACTTATGTCTATAACAAGAGCATTTCAATTATCTTGTCCATTCGTTGCAGGTCCTATATGATTACTCAAAGCAATTACATCCATGTGTGTTTCCATGATTAGCAGTTTACACAAAAGGTCGCGTTTATATTTGATCAATCGTTGTAAAAGCAGTTTCCTTTGCCAATAATTCCGTGACATTTGTTTTCCATTCTACCGTAAACATTCTCTCGAACCCGTGCAATCGTCCTCGATTCGTTGGTCGATAATGCGTTAAGAGTTGAGCAGTGAAACACAGTTTCTAAAATTCTCTCGCGTGTCGGATGCAAGTGAAACGGAAGTAAAAGGAACATTCTCGTTGTCGAATAGTACGATCTCTTATATCGAGTTCCATCTCCTTCGTTTCCTCTCCTTTCCCGCAGCGATAGCGAACCGTTTCTTAGAAAAGTAGGTCATAAATTCGATAGATACGAATAATTCGGGATAAGAAGAAGAAACGAACGAGAATTTATTAACACATGCCAAATGCTAGGGAATGCTGCAATCTAATACTATTCAACATAATAATATTTTTCTATTGTTTTCTTTGAATTATTCGAGGATGTATAATTAATGATGGTGGTTACCGGCAACCCCCGGGACATTCAACGTCTTACGATTAATGTATCAATATGTAGCGCAATTAACCCTTTCGGTACTAACGTCGCTTATAGTCGGCATCCACGAAACGTTCTCTAGGTACGACCGCCGCCTATAGTCGGCATCCACGAAACGTTCTCTGGGCACGACTGCCGCCTAAAGTCGGTATCCACGAAACATAGTACAGTAATGCTTCGAAATAAGCAAGTGGTCTCTGCTTCGAAATAAGCAAGTCGCTATCCCCTCTTCTTTGTTTGAAGTCGCCCGCAAAGTGAGAGGTACGAGAAACGAGTGAGAGGTCCATCAAAGCGCGAAGCCGATGTTTAGGGTAATAAATTTCACGCTCGACTGAGCAGTGACATCGGTTAGTAGAAGAAGGATGGAATATATATAATGCTTTCTCAGTCTGGTATATTTGCTTCGAAATAAAGCATAGTGCGAGAATGAGAGGGCATGTTATATTCTATCCTTGTCCAAAAAATAACATCGCTGCTCGGCCGATCACTTTATGATTTGCCGCTACCTCGGATCTCTCACTCGTTTCTCGCGTTTTCTATCGTCCCGTTTCAAGAACAAAGTCAAGCCGAATAGGTACCTGCTTCGAAATAAGCAACTGTTCGGTCCCGAGCCACTTGCTTATTTCGAAGCATTACTGTACATATATAGACAGTGCCGGTTTTAGCAATATTGGCGCCCTGGGCAAGATTATCATGGCGCCCATTCAGGAACTCAACATTTTTAAGAAAAAAAGCCAAGGTACTAGGGACACCGGGCTGCGGCGCCCCCTACGGATCTACCGCCCTGGACGATTGCCCCCCCAATGCCGGCACTATATATAGATAAGCTACGGAAAAGAAATTGGTATGTTTGCTTATATCGTAAATGTTTTGAATGTTTTACTTAAAAGTTGGTTTAGGTCTCCTTTTGCGGCTTTCACTGCCGTATAGTGCAACCACTCTCGTGGAAAACTTTCTCGTACAGCTCTTCCGTACCGAAAGGGTTAAGGGAGTCGGAAAGGTCGACTAACCCTTTCTAAGCAACTATAATATATTTCCAAATTGTTTATTTAGTATGCAACAATCCTCATTTAACTTGACCAATTTTTTATGATAATCTATTTTTGATGATGACCAATGATAATCTATCGAAATGCAGTTTGAAAAAAAAAAGTAAACAAACATAATTTTTATATTAAACGAACGATGAAAGCATTTTAAGCAAAATCTCTAAGTAACACGATCATTGGAGATTTTCTCATCTACCAGTGATTTTCAATTGCGCAAAAAGCGGACATATTCAGAGCTGTTAAAAGTAGATACAGCGATCGGCCATCAGCCGTGTCATCTAATACAACGTCTGCAGTAAAGTCGATGGTTACAGACTAAAATAGAGTGAGAAAAGAGGATAGAATTGCGGTGACCAGTATGTACATAGCCAATACATTGCAATTGATGACATGTTCACGAGGTAAAAGGAACAAAATCAAAGTCAAATAGCATTCTTGAACTTCTGCTTATTCTTTAACCAGGAGCAGACTGGAATTGAAATTTTTACCAAAAATTATAATGAATAAATTTAATTAAACTATTTTGACAGCCATATATTTTATAAAATTGATGACTTTTCAATTTCACGCTTTTTTTATATCTAATAGAAATTATTGATAAAAACTTATATTTGAAAGCTTCATTTTATGCTGGGAAATTAGAGTAGATAAAATTAAGGCAATTTATTAATTATTAATTTATTAATTAGATCTTAAATTCCTATTGGTCCACAAGGAATTTTTCCAAACTTTTTGCACTCCCAACAAAGGGTGGATGGCCAGTTCATTTCTGTCGTTAACCCTTTCGATGATAAAAGTGATTCTCCTTCTCCCCCCTCTCCAGTTCCTCAACTTTCTTCCATATCATTTCTATTTTCTATTCCATATCTTTCTTCTATTCTATCCATTTATCTTCTCTTCTTTTTATTTCTTCTTTTAACTTTTCTATCTCCCCTCTTATTTCTCCTTTTAGATTTTTCCCTAGTACCCTCATGTTTGATTCCATCCTCTTTCCTAATTTTTTAATCAGCTATTTTATTTCCCCTATTCCTCCTTCTTCCTTTTTCTCTTTCTTCTTTTCTGGGGATCTCCCTACTACGTTGCTTTCTCTGAACATCCACCCCCGCATTTGACTTTTCCCTCTCTTCCCCCTCTCCTCCCCCTCTTCTCCCCCTCTTCTCCCCCTGCTTTTCTCTTCCTTTTCCATATTTCCTCCAAGTTTGACATACTTCCTACACTCATGCTCCTTTCTTTTCTCAGTATCCCCACATTCGTCGGTCTACCTCTTCTTCCACACTCGTCCAGTCACCCTGTTTCATCCCTCCCTTCCTCAGCTTTCTTTTCCTCCCTCATGTCTTCCGTCTTTTGTTATTAGTTCCTTTTCTCTTTTTCCCTATCTCTTCTTTACCGACTTTCCATCCTCTTCTATGCTCTTCTCCCCCTCTTTTCTAGATGTCTCTCCCTTCGTTCTCTTTCTTCCCGTTAGCCGCGTCTTCCTTTCTTTCGTTTCTCACCTAACCTCAAACTGTCTCGTCTTCTTCACACTCCCTTTTGTCCTCCTAATGTCCTTTCCTCAACTTCACCTATTACTTCCCACCTTTTCCGGGCTTTTCAGTCTCTTTCTGTTACTATCCTTAACTCACTCTAACTCCTTCTTTATACTTTTCTACACCAGAATACATACTCAATCTCTCACACGCTTTGCCATGACCATTTCCACAGCGGGAGTCAATAATAAACATGTATTTGAATATATCTTGAATATATCATAAATTTGACTGTACCATTTTTTATTTAATCACTTCTGGGTACTATGAATATATCTGCTCAATCATTGCATGCTTATAAGCAGAATTATTTTCCACATATCAATGCAATAAATAATATCAATAGTTTAGAAATCATTTCTAATTAAAGTTCTAGCTAGAAACAATAAAATTTTAATTCTAATTCTAATTTATCAAACAAATAATAATCAGCTGTGATAATAGCAATAATTATCTACATTTTATACAATTCCTCTCAATACTATTTTTCAAATACATACGTAAAATCATTCCTTGAAAAATCCTAATTATATTCAAGA